GGAGTGATTGGAAGCTCTGCCCCTCCGCGGGCCACTGGGCCTTTTCTCGTGCCACTGACTTTGTGTTACAAAGATGTCACACCCAGATCAAACCAGAATTAAGGGGGAAAGAAAGAAAATTTTCACAGAATTTTTCCTGTCAGTAATTAATAATAGAAATTTGTTACTACTAAGAATTATTTTAATACTATTTGGAAAATCTATGAGTTTAACATACTGGCATTCTCTTTTCTCTTGTTAATTCAAAACCACAACTAAAACATCAGTCTTTCAAAAGCTCAAAACAGATAATTCTCCACATTAAATACAATTTTGACTGCAGTCAAATACATGCACAGCATGTTCCCATGCATTACCAGTGCACCATGGCTTACTTTAAGAGTGAGAAAACATAGATTCAGAAACTCTTGTTGACCCTGGAAGGTCTCAAATTTTTTCTAAGCCCAGGGGACTTTCTACATCACACCACAGTAGAAAGTAAGCAATCCTTTAGGACACTGAACTCAAACTTACATCAAAAAGCTGGGACGGCAGTTGCTCATTGTTGTATTGGGTCCTGAACAGAACTTTTGTTCCAAAAATTCATTATGCTGCAAAGCCTGTAATACAAGGGGGAACAGAACAAGGTAAACACTTTCAAATTTCAAAGGCTGAGGTAGGAGAATTGCAAGTTCAAGTCAGCCTGGGCAACTCAACTTAGCCAGATCCTGTGTCAAGATAAAAGAAAAAGGGCTGGAGATATACCAAAGTGTTAGAGCACATGCTGAGCATGCACAAGGGACTGGGTTCACTCCCTAGTACCGCAAAAGAGAAAAAACAAAAGTGCCAAAGAAGTATCTCAGTTATATCCTCCAGATTAATCCTCAAAAGGCTTAGTGTTGTGATGTTTTAAATTGGCCAAGAAGAAAGACTTCTGGTTGTTATTGCCCCATATTTACTTTCTTCTTTCCCAATATTTTAACCCCACAAACAGTGTATTCCAAATAATACTTTGGTGCTTAATGAATATTGTTGATTTATGGTAATGATCTTTTCTTGTTTGTTTCAATCAAAACCAGTTATAAGTCTGGTAGTTAAAAATTTGGTTGTACTGTGTTAAGACACAGCTTTCTTTGGAGCCAATTAACTTGCCAAAGCCAATATGGCTATGAGTACTTCATGGTCTTTGTTTCTCTTCCAATTTGCCTTTTAGAATAAGCTGTTTTCCAGTCTCCCACCCGCCTTTTATTCTGAAAATATTTTTCACCTTTCATCTCCCTCAAACAATGAGGTGACTGAGAAAAACCTCAGATGAATCCCTGACCTTGTGGTTACCCATGCTAACAGGAAATACTCATGCATTGTTCCTGAAAGACAGTTCATGGATAGTAGACAGTCACAGTTCATGGATTGGAAATGAGAGTGTCGGGCTTGATTTTGTTTGTTCCCAGGTTAGGTACCCAGTCACAATGGCAGATGATGACAACTTACCATATAGCCATAATGAGGAATACTGAAGTACTGAAGCCAGGAGAGCTGAGGTGCCATGGTTTCAAAATTCAATGACATACCCAAGAAAACCTATGAAAAGAAAAACCAAGTATCAGAACTGGTTCAGTGTTTTCTGTTAGAGTCTGTAAACAAGTCAAAATAACACCTGGCATTTTGCCAGGGGAAGGTTAGAGTTCATAAACAAGTCTGGATGGCGCCTGGCAAAATGCCAGAGGGAGTGGTTTGAGAAGTAACAAAAGCGAGCCATTAAGTGTGGAGATTCCTTATTGGTTGACTGATGTATCTAGTTTATGCTAATTAGATAAGCTGTGTGGAATGTATAAATACTACTCCTGTCCTGCAATAAACGGCTCCTACTCCTGCTGTATCAACGTACACAAGTTATTCGTCACCCGCCCCCCAGGGTTATTTTGCTGCAGCCGGACTGCGGCAGTTTTCATGAGGAACTCTGGGCAAGGCCCTCTACAAGAACTCCACAACCTTCTAAAAACATCTCTGCTAAGATCTACACTTTCTTGAAATTCTTTCCATTTACTCTAAACAATAATCTTTGTTCTTTGCATGTCTATACCTCTGCATAAATGAGGCAGTTTATGATATTAAAGGAAGGATAATATATGTATAAAGTATATTACACGTTTCAATTATTTTGAAGATTTGGGGAAATAAGCCTATAATCTGTATAATATGCTCCACTTATTTGGAGGGTTCTTAATTATCAGGACTATGCTATCAGCTTTCTTTGTAACTGCACACAATGAAAGATTAAGAAATACAGCTATCTCTTAGTATCTGAGGAATTTTTTCCAGGACCCACCCATCTCAACTACCGTTACCAAAACTTGCAGACGCTTAAGTCCCTTATTTTAAAAATGGCAGAGTTTTATATGTAACCTATGTACATTCTTTATGCTGTAAATATACACATCCTGCATATTTTAAATCATTTCCATGTCTTATGTAAATACCTAACACAATGTAAATGCTATGTGGTTTAAACATTATGGCTTAGATGAGAAAAGAATAACTATACATATTCAGTCCAGACATGATTTTTGTTCTGTATAGTTCTGTGGTAGGCTGAATCTTTGATGAAGAACCCATAGACATGAGGCCTGGCTACACTGAATATTGACATTGCACTACCACTATCTGTTCTCCTAATAAAGCTGACCATCTAGGAACACATACCAGAGATCCTGAGCATCACACATCCCTATCTACTTCCATACGATATGATTTATTATTTACAAGGGTCTGTGCAGTATATCCATGACTTTTGGAGTAATTTGGGGTTCAGAATGCAGGCTCAAGGAAACCCAAAGCCTAAAATTGATAAAGAGGATGATGTAGTGGAGCACAGCAGAAAACACAGTCAATACATTCATCTAAAGCTAACAGAAAGCAGTATGACAATGGAGGTGACAAGAGCGAATGCTCAAGATGAAAAAGAGACACCTCTGAGGTCCACATAACACGTAACTCAACTGGTGCAAGGTGCCTTGGGATATGCAAAACAATGACTGGTACTGTGCTGTGCCTACACATTTACTCATGAAGACTCCATGTGCTTAGTATACAACAGCATCTCTAAGTAAAATGTGGTTTTGTGATCGGCTTCTAAACTGCCACATAGAAATGTTTACATGTTAGTCAGAGCACCAAATAAAGCAAACAAAACATCTTAATTTATTGAAGAACACTTCATTTACTGACGGACAATATAGGAAATATAAATAAGACATTAATTTCTCAATGTATACATTGGTAGTTGCCAAATTTAGAAAGGAAAGAATTAAACTTTGGCAAGTGCTTTTACTAATTATGCATCACTGAAAGGCATCTCTTCCTACTGTAGCAGAAAGGATGTATTAATGGCTAGGCACTCCTGTTTAGTTCATGTCATAGTGGTAAGTAGTTCCATTCACCTGTTGATTCATCACTGTGAGTGCAAACTTTAGGCCATGTAAGATTAGAACTAAGTAACCATTGAAAACAAAATAAGAGCAGAAAAATATTGATATAAGAGATCATCAGGAAACCAGAAATAAGTGACCTATAGATTTAAGTTCTATCAGTGGTTCCTACTCTGGTATGTTGTCAAAAATAGATATTTCTAGTGTTTTTATGTGTGTGTGAGACAGAAAGATGGAAATATTCAATGCAATGAAACTGGGGGGAAACCCAAGCATAATATATAGGTTTGGACATTTTCCACTATTTTTAAAACTCAAGTTAGACTCCTCATGCTGCACACTCATGAAGCTTCGCTCTGATCTTGGAGAGTAGTGAGTCCAACCAAACCATCTTTGCTGTGGGTAAACAGCTAGCAAATCTCTAATACCAGCATCAAAGGCAGGCAGGTAACTTATCTTTTTTATGAGGTAATGGGCCAATGATAGTTCCTCTGGATTATCAAGTTCCAATTTATCAAGGTGAATGTGCATGAAGAAACAAGGTGAAAATTCTCTCTCACAGAAGCACAGTTCCCACTCACCAGCATAAACACAAAATAGACGGTCACCAGACGTGTTTTTCCGGATGCTGCATTCTCACGTGTTCCTATAGCCAGGATCATGGCAGTGGTGGAATAAGCCACCATCAAAGTGGTAATCATTGTGATGAGGAAAGCTGTTATCCCCCGTTTCAGCCCTCAGAAAGAAAAGAAGGGGTCAGTGCAGCTGTATAGGTCACCTTGTCTTTCAGACTGTTCAACATGCAAAGAACACTACAATTTTCCAATCAACTAATATCAGAATGAAAAAAAGACAAACGTGACCCAACTATCATGATTCACCACTTAATTTTTTCCCTTGTTGTAAGTGCACAAAGTTATCACAGTTCTTTTGTACATTTACTGATGAAGGACCTTTCCATGTAACACCTACTCTCCTTTATATGTAATTATGAACAATATCAGATTGCTGAGGTGGAGAGACACAGGCAACACAAATGGCTAAAATTCTACAGTCTAAGGAGACTCAAGAGCAGACATCTCCACATTGTTCACTGTTTGATGCAACTGCATTAGTGAAGAAACTGGGGTTGGGATTCCACAAGTGGATTGAGTGTTTTGGGAAATGGAGAGAGAGTTTCTCCATAATGGAAGACTTCCCTAGACAAACGATCACATGGCTCTGGAATATTTATTGCTCACATGTGATATAGAATGGGTTAGGTTAAGCAACTACTTTATAAATGATTATAAGCTAATGCTCTTGGTCATAAAACAGCTTCAAGAATACTAAACAGGAGTCTGGGGGTCTAGTTATCATGACAAATTCTTTATGATGCAACTTTTTATTTATTTGTAATATGGAAGATTTAAGTTCTATCAGTGGTTCTTACTCTCATGTGTTGTCAAAAATGGATATTTCTGTTGTGTTTATGTGTGCACATGTATGTATGTGTGTGTGTTTGTGTGAGATATGGAAATATTCATGCAATGAAACTGGAAGGAAACCTGAGCATAATGCACAAACATCTGTCTATATCTACCAAACAAGTATTTTTATTAAATTAACCTTCTTTAAAAGTCACTATCTTTCTTTCATCATAGAAGGAGACAGGGAGAGAATGTATGTGTGTGTTGATTATTTATCCCTCTCAACATATCTCTATAGATTCTAGAGATATTACCTACCTATCTATATTTTATCTCCATATAGAGATATATGTAGAGATACAGAGAAGAAATATAGATAAATAGGCAATAAATATTCCAGTTCCTCTAGCACAATCTCAAAGAGTTTTATAAATTCCCTCCATATCTGTATATGACACACAGCATTTCTCAATAAAATGTAGTTTTAATAAGAGTTTATTGGACTGCTTACAGGGGGCATATACCTGAAAACAGGCTACTTAGGAGAACAAGGAAGCAGGCTCACAAGTTCAAGGCTAGCCTGGAAATTTACCAAGATTAAAATGTCTCATATTAAAGTAAAACTAAAATGGAATGGTCCAGCACTTGCCTACTGAGCTTATACCTTAGGGTCAATCCTTAGTACACCCCTCCCGCACACATGCACAAAAGTTTGTTTAGAAAAAGTCTGAACAAGGCCCACATTTAGCAGCTTTATTAGAGAGGATACAATGCTTCAATAGCTTTTGGCTGGGTATGCAGTTTGGAGAACCATGGACATGCTTACAAAGAGAAATTAGAAATTAGCATCAGCTCATATCTAAGACTGAAGACATATCTTTGTCTTATTACTTACCTAATATCCAGTATAGTATACCAGTAAATATAAAACTTGGGAAAAACCTCCTGAATAGGAACTCAAATAACAGTTTTCCAAGGAAGTAAGATGACACTCTGTAGTATCCACTTATGTACTCAAGTCTACAGAACAAAAACACACACCACACATCCCAGATTAGTCCAAGAAGGCACAGCCCAGATGAGATGCTGTTGTGCAGACTCCTGCTGCCACCAGGTCTGACACTGCAGCTGCCGACCGGCTCCAGGCTGATCCCTGGTTAATGCCTTTCTCCACCTCAGGTGCAGCCTCCCTGGGGCATCAGCCCCTCAAGGCTCTTGCTGTGACCCTCTCATGACAGCACCCTTCCTGCCACGGCCCACTCTAGTCCACATCACCCCTCCTGGGACACAGTCTGCACCTCCTCACTCTCCTCTGAGACCCTACTTGTCCTCTAAGGCTGTCTGAAGAGTAGAACTCCAGGACCTAATCTCAGTGGCAGCACAGGCTTTTCTTCTCCCCAATTCTGAATGTGAAGAATGTGACACTGATATTTTCCAAAGCCTTAATGTAAGTGCACATCCCTAAAGTCCTTTTACTTCTGCTACTTTCATGTTACAAAAGAAAAAAAGTCTTCTTCCTTCAATGATCACATCTCAAATGTACCACCCTGTCAGCTACCAAATCCTCATCTTTCTTCTTCCTGAAACATCCCATAATTCCAAACTCTTCCACCAGTGTCTTCATTCCTTCCCTCTGATGATTCCTGCTCTTGGCATGTAAGTATGGGAAAATCTCTTCCATCTTTGAAAACAGAAGACACAAAACCAGCCAGCTCTTTACTGTAAGGCTGCCCTCTGGCCACTTCTCCTTCATTCACCAAGGACTATACTTTCTTAAATTCTTTGTCAGTTTTACTTCCCACCTCTGATTTGCATTAAATCTCTACCAAGCTTCTTAAACTTTTCCCACAGGTGCCATCATGACCCTGTTATTTGCTAAAAACGAAAAGGTAATTTCAGCCCCTTTATTGCTCATTTTCCCTGTAACACTGGAATTCACTGACCACATCTAACACTGAAACTCTGTTTTCCCTCAGTAGCAGGCCCCACTTCCTCTTGATTTTCCAGTCCATCCCTGAGTGCTTCTTCTCCATTAATATTAGCAATCCCTATACAGACTTCAAAAGCTCATGTTGCACTTTACATGTCTATACAATTTGCATTTGTCAATTAAACAAACTAAGAAATAAAACTGTGATAGCAGAAGCAAATGTGACTCCATGTTGTTTTATGACTTCATCTTGTCAAACAACCATGCCAAGTAGAAGGGTCATGACTGGGGCAAGATGTCCTTTTCCTTTTGCTATAGAAACCTTTAAGAACGTGGAACTACCTAACGGGGAATTGTTTCTGTAACTAGGATAACGGGGCTCTGTTTCTGTAACTGGGGTGACTGGGATAACTGTGATTGGTTAGGCTTCCCAACGCTTGACTGCACTCTCCCACTTCTGTAACCTGGCTTGCTTGCATTGGCTGGACCCCTAACACCCCTTTTGTGTTTTTCAGGCTTATGAGGAGCGCCCTTGAAATTGTTTGGGGCTGATCAGGGGAACAGCTTTATGTTCTGGTCAACTGCCACCGGTATGCCACAATAAAGGCTTGATTCGATTATACATGAGTGGTCTGGAAGTCAGTTTAAGAAACCCCGGGATGAAGCTTTAACTATAACAAAACAATACTCGTAATCTCCCAGATTATAATCTCGGCTCAATTCTGAATGCTATCAGTTTGACCAGTGGGTCTGATGCTACTTCCCAGAGTGGAAACCTACTCACATAAAAAGATTCCTCTCCATCAGGAAGATCTCCCTGGCTGAGACACTCGTGACACATTGGAAGACAGTTAGCACATAGAGTGACCAGGCTCTGCAGAAGAGGAACAAAAGCCCTACTGTTAATTCAAAACAATTAGGGAAGTTTTTACCCCCAGAACTTTTATATCTGTAATGATATAAGATTAAATAGACTTTTTTAAAATACAGATTAAAACAGGTACATGTGACTCCGTGAGGTCTCTCCCCACTTCTATCTCCATAGTGGTGCCTCCATAGTTTTTGAGGTATGTGACATTTTGCTAAGCACTTACGTTCAGACACAGCTATTAAAAAGTCTCATCAAGAAATGAGATTTTTAAGGGCATTTCCATAGGTAACAATCACTGCACTGACCTAAGTATTATCCATGTAACAGAAAATCTCAAATCCTATCCACCTATCCTATACTCCTATAACATCCTTAAAGGAAAAAGGAGGGCACTAAAGCCATTTCTATACCCTTAACCCCTTTTTGTTCCAAAAACCTAGCCAAGTTAGGAGAACAGTGAGAACCACCCTACTATATATATATATGCAAAGACTGTTCTGTAGATAAGAAACACACAGGGGCTGTGATTGTTGCTCAGCGGTAGAGCGCTCGCCTAGCACAGGCGGAGCCCTGGATTCGATCCTCAGCACCAAATAAAAATAAAGGCATTTTGTTGCATCCAACTACAATTAAATATATATATATATATATATATATATATATATATATATATATATAT